TTCATAAGCCGATGCCTACGTGCTCGCCCTCCGAGGACCCAAACAGAACCAAACCGTACGATTTGTCATGTGCTGCCATATATCAAGGAGGTTTCGGAAGCGACGGAGAGCATTGCCGCATGACTAGGCATAGGAATCGCACACCGTCCCAAAACTACAGTGCGCAGCCAGGCTCATAAGAATCAAGGATTGATTAAATCTAAGTGAGCAGTCGGACGTAGTGTATCGCATACCATGTCTAAACTGTCCCATAAATTACACGGGACCAACTAGACGCATGCTGGGTTCGCGCATACACGAACAAAAGCTGGCTGTTCGACGGGATGACGCATTATTGTAAATGGCGGCCCACATTTAGGAGACGAGTCACGAGTTCAACTTTGCAGCTGCGAGGATAATTGCCCACGCCGGCAGCAAGACGGGCCGAGAGCTGATTGAAGCCTGGGCGTCATGACAACTTAGTTAACCGATGTATAGAGCTGGCGCCCGCAAATTTTGCCCTACGGAGGTATCTCCAGACTCACGGCATTGGCGGTTACTTGGTCCTCTCCCTACCCGTCCTCCCTGCCCTTATGATGGTTAATTGACCCTTTCGTTGCTTGCTTTCGTTGACGATTTTATCTCTGACGATGGACTACCGCAAGAGTTTAAGAGTTCAGACTAATAAAACTATGGTTCCGGTGATCGACGCGGCTTCCGCTTCTCAACACTTTTATTCGCCTGACATTTCTTCTTAATTAGTTCCTGGGGCTCGCATGTCCGCTTGTATTGGCAAAGCTGTAATTTTAAAATCCCATAAAGGCTCGGCTGCACAACTAAAATATGGACGTAGCCGACTTCGTCGTCTTCCTGCAGTTTGGTGTTGTTTTGAGCAGAGGAGCAATCCACACACCCAAGTCCTTCCGACTGTCACTTTGTTGCTGTGGTGTACCAGTTAAGAAGCAAATTCTCGGGCTGGAGGCTCTACATATACCGATTTGAAGAAAGTTGCATTTACTAAAATTTGCATAAGTTTTGTTGTTATATCATGGCCGCATACTTTTGCGTCAAAGAGACATGATCAGGCTGCCAATGCTGAGTTTCCTGTCCAGTTCTATTTTAT